ATCTAGTAATGCAATCCATATCAAAAGCTGCCAAACAAATAAATGCTTTGGTATCGCTTTGCCATTAGCTGAAACCTGAAATTGTACTTAACAAAACAGTTTTTAATCAGCATTGGCACACAATCCCCAATGGACACTGAGGCTACCATTACTGGGAAAAGTGATTTGGTTTTTTTTTTTTTTTTTTTCTATCACATGTAAGGCAGAAAAGAACTGTGCTAATTGAATATCTGAAGGATACTAATGACTGTGTATCCAATCAATACAGGTAAAATATCTGGAGCACAAATGCTCTTAGTTCATGCACACTGGATCTATGCACCCTATGTATGGCATTAAAAGCCCTGAAGCTGAGCAAAGCCATTTTTTTTTCCTGTTTCTTAAATTAAGTGAAAAGCTTTAATTCTGGCGTGAATAACACAGGATATAAGAACACCTAGATGTGTGAGAAAATAGAACTGTCTTTCTCCAGTTAACTATATTGCTAAATATAAATCTATCACACAGGGACAATTAACAAAAGGCAATTTTAAAGCTCATGTTTTTAATTTTACAGTTGATGTTCTGAAATTACAGATTAGAAATAGAACATTTCCATTAAGAGTCAAAAGCTAAGAAAGAAGTAAAAGGATAAGAACTAAACAAGAAAGCAAAGATTTCTTCAAGAACAAAGGATCATTTGGTCTCTCCATCAGTTTCTAGGCAATACATTTCAGACCAGACCCTGCTATGTTTTCAGCTCTTTCTTGTGCTCCATGGTTCAAAGTAACACAGCAGATTGTTCTTGCTCATTCAAAATCACATGGCAATAAACTTAGGAAAGTGAGACAACTTTCACATTAGCTCTGAAACACTCTGAAGGCTCATAAGGCTCAAACACTGCAAATGAGCGTCAGCCACCAACTCCAGATGACTCTGCATAAAGGGAGCTCAGCTGAGTGATCTGCTAAGTTCACACTTGGTATCTATCCAGGTGATGAGATTCTACAGAGGATCTGTAGAGAGAACAGGAGTCACAGCTGCATCCGCAATGCATTTTTCATTAGGAGCAAAATTCAACAGTCGTAATGGCAAGGATAAATTTTGCTGATCATGAATAGAAATTCATGTCCAAACTAGCCTAAATACACAGTTTACCCACCAGCTGAGTAACAAACAGCCTCTATTTTTTCCTCCCAGTTTCAAGGCACATACACTCCATGTCGCTTGAGCACACTATTGCTGATGGTCCCCCCACATCTCAGCATTCCACAACCACACTGTGCTCACTGCAACGCTGCACTGCCTGCTTTGCAGCCTAAGAATTGCTTCTCCCAGAGGCTCACACCTCCTCAGCTGCGGCAAAGATATTCAACACTTTACCTCTGCTGCGAAACATCAAGGCAGAAGCCTAAGGCTGAAACACTGGGGCTTGTATGTTTCCTTCTCTAACCAAAAGCCTTCCATCTGCACAAAGCCAGCTGCAGGGAGGAGGACAATGAGATTCATCAGAGCAGTTTGGCACCACCCTAAAAATTCTAGAGCTGAGTTCAATGTGTGCAGGACCCGCATGGTTATACAAGGCAAGGAATGGGAAATCTGGATGAGTTTTGCATGGCCTATACTGACCTGTCTACTCGTGGTTTAGAGCACTGTAAAAGTTGAGCTAATGCTTCCAACCGCACCCTTATAAAACATGCATTTGATACTACATAAATCAACTCAGTTAATAGTGCAGATAGCACATATATGCAAAAGAATAAAGCAGGACATGTACTTGAGAGCTGCTAAGCTCTTCTTAAACATAGCTGTCAACTCTGAATTATTCAGCAGGAATGTATTTATACAAGAGTTTCTTATGGATCACACGAAGTCACATACCATTTAGCCCAACCACCAAGTTGTAGATGCAGCAGGTAAAAAATGTCACTTTGTGACATGAACAGATGACACAAACTGACAGAGGAGTAAATTAGAATACAGTATTTCTGAAAACTGATCTGCTCAACCTAATTCTAACATGTTTTAGTAGTGACTGACACAATGTTACAAGAGCAGAAAGAGCAAGACTGTACCACTGACAGGTGCAATATAGGAAGTCATCTATCTCAGCATAGGCCACCGAACTCAGGCTTTCATTAAGTTATAATGAGAAGAAGAATGTTCAGATGTCAAAACTAGGCTGCAGAAAACACTGTCCTCTGCGGCTGCCTTTGCTCGAGTCTGCATAGAAAGGTGTATGCAGCTCTCACGCTGCCGTTTTCATTTGCAACCCCTCATCAGACCAAAACCAGGAAAAACCCATCAAGTGCAGCTCAGACTTTGCATACGAGCCATGCTAACAAGTATTAAGTTCTCTATGGCTACTTTTACATTTCACAGTAAAAAAGACTGCGACAGGCAAGCAGTGCATTTCAATGTGCATATTTGATAAATTCTACCTTCACACTTCACTACCTGAACAAACCCAGCCAAGAGTATCCACCTCTTAATGCCTCTGAATTGAGGCCACGTGACTCTTCCAAAGGTATATTTTAATCAAATAAATGGTTATGTTCATAAAGGCAGAAATAGGAAGTGCTGAGGCATACAATATAGCAATGGGCATGCACAAATGTCTAACTGAGCCTCACGGGGCTGAAGGGAAATGATTGCTGTATTTGGCCTCCGAGTTCCTCCTGTTAAGAAACAGACAGATGTGGTGAGGAAGGTGCACGTCCTCACCCACAGCCACCACACACATCAGCTCTGGATAGGCAGTAAAGCTGACATCTAGGGAAGGACAGCTTATTACCCCCTCCCCCTTTGTCACTTCCCTCAAATTTGCTTCACGTGTGGTAATTTAACAGCTATTTCTTTGCTTCCTACAGCTTCCCAAAAATAAAACACGCACACAAAACACAGAATAGCAGCTGTTGATGACTTTCTACAGTGTAAGGAAATGAATTCCATTTTGAATTCCATTCCACATTTTTAGTTTTGGCTATGTTATTTTTGGAGAATGAAACAGTAGCGTTCCAGTCAGTCTTTTTGAGACCTTTTCCCTGGCTCTTGGTTTCTGTAGCTGTATTTCCACTTTTAAATGAAAACACATTTCCTCTTACGATAATTTACACTGAAAGTGAGAAGCGAGCTGCTTACCAAACAAGTAAGTGTTGCAATTCAAATGATGTTTTTATACTAGGATTGCAATAGTCAGCCTAACTAAATGCCCATACAAAATTAACGTCACACAGCATAAAGCAACAATACCAAAGCCTCAGAGGCTTTTACAGGAAACCCACTACAAATTTCATAAATCATTTAAAAAAAAAAAAAAAAAAAGCTGAAGTAATTCCTTATGTCATACACAGGCATGAAAAACAGAAAACAACAAAACTCGATTCACTAATGTTACATCTTCCCCACAGTTAATTATTTAAGCCATACTCGCAGAGGGAAATGCAGGGAAAAAAAGTGATTAACTCTGCAACAAAAATTGCATATGTACAATCCAGTTAGTGCTCTTCTATGGATTACTGATTTCTCCAGTGTATTACATGAACTGGTCTACACTATAAGCCTACAAAACCTCAAAAAAAAAGCGCTAAGCAGCCCAGTCTCAATTTCACAATTAGAATCTCTCTTCAGAAACATTAGCAGCTTTTCGTGTGTCTGATCTACAGCAGGGGAGGTAAGAGAATGAAAGAAACGCTCTGTTGAATATAAAAGCAGAGTGTGAAGAAGTCTGCTGGGGTTAAGTAATTAACCTGATGCATTTTTCAGAGAGACTGTACTATTTTTAACTGCTCTTTTTTGGCAACAGGTCAAAGTTTTCCTAGCAAAATACCAAAGTGAAAACGCTGGGAGCAAAGCCCAGAGGCAGCTCTTTGCTTTGGCCTAAGCTGAAACTTATCTGACTCCAATTAGATAGGTAGCACTGCTTCCCACTCCCCTTCATTGAGTGCTACGGTTTGTGGGCCTCATTATGCCTCTGAACGTCTACGAGAGAAATAGCACAGCACTAAAGCCTTGAGAAGAGCATTTTTCAGATTCTATAGGAAATTCCTATACTCTTCACACAGCACAGACATCTATACAGTTCAGACAGTTCCTGTATTCTTGGCCAAACAGAACTGAGTCATTTACAAGGAAAAAAAAAGAAAAAAAGAAAGAAAAAAAAAAAAGAAGGAAAAGGACTCAGTGTGTGTCTTAAGCAAATCCTGCCTGGAAGGGCTGGGATCTGCCCTCCCTTTTCTGTTCCTCCTCACTGGGACACACTGGAAATCTCTCAGTAGAGTGGAAATATTGGGTCTGGTGACCCAGAAGTTCAGTTTAAATAATAATAACCATTCCCTCTCACCACCTTTCCACGGTTCAGATGTTTAAAACGGGGAAACAGAACTCCTTCCCACTCCTTCCTGAGGGCATGGATTTCTTGGTAAAGGAAATTGTATTTCATACACACACACACAGAAAAATGCTACGTGAAATAAGAGACAGACGAAATCAATTTGTCCCAATGGAAAACGAACGTGACCCCGTAGGATCCATCCCCGAGCTACATTTCTCCCTGAGGCGTGTCCCCTTCCTGCGTTACCCCTGCAGCACGCAGAGCCCTCGCTCCCACCACAGGCCGTTTCCCGGCGGGCTCCAGCTCCGGGCACCGCACACACAAAGCCGGCAATCACCCGGCCGCGCTCAGCGCGTTCGGGAGGCGCGAAGCCGCGGGGCAGAGGTGATGCCGGAGGAGCGGAGCCCTCCCCGCCTCACCGGGCGTCGAGACGCGTTTCTCCCCCGGTCCCAAACAAACCCCGCTCCCCCCCGCGGGGCCCCACGACGGAGGCAGGACTGTGCCCTCGGCCCGGCCGCTCCCTGCCCGGGGTTTCGGCCGGCCGAAGGCGCGAAGAGCGGCCGCCCCCCGCCCGGGAAGGAGCCTTCGCCCTCCCCTGCAGGATGCGAAGCGCTTCCCTTCCTTCCTCCCGGCCGAGCCGAGGGGCCGCGCCGCCTTTGTTAGCTCGCCGCCCGCCGCCGCCCCTCACCAGCAGGCTCTCCACGTTGACGGGGGAGCGCGGATCGCGGATCATAGACTCCAGCTTCCTCTGGCGGCCCTCGAGCATCCCCGCCGCCGCCGAGTCCGGAGCCTGCGGCGCGAGGGGAGCCGCCGACATCTTCCCCGCCTGCAGCTGCTGGCTCATCCTCCGGGGGAGGGCCGCCTCCCCTCGCCGCCGGGGAGGAGGAGGAGGAGGAGGAGGAGACTGAGCGGGGTCGCCCCGCGGCCGGGGCCTAACGCGGCGGCGAGGCCGGGCCTGGGCGTGCGGGCGGGAGCCGAGGGCAGCGCTCCGCAGTGGGGCCGCACCGCGGCCGCCCGGGCATGAAGGGCGCTGGGAAGCGGCCGCTGTTCCTCCCGGCGGTGGGGAAGGGGAAAGGCAGCGCTTCCCGCCGCGCCCCCGCCTCTCCTGCCCGCTCGGGGCGTCCCCTCGGCGGGACCCGGCTCACCGCCCGCCGGCCGCCGCCCGCCGGACCATCGCGCCCGCGGGCGGGGAGGGAAAGTGGGAGAGGAGCAGCAGCCGCCGCGTTCCGGCTCCCTTTCCTCCGTCAGCTGAGATCCCCGTCGGCGGAGGCTCCGCGGGCCTCGCCCGGCCGTTCCCCTTTCTCCCTCCTGGGCCGCCCCGGCGCGCTCAGTCCATGCCGCGCCCGCAGCGCGCTGCTCCCACCGCCGCCGCGCCCGCCCCCGGCCCGGCCCCGTGCGGCGGGAGGCGGCCTCCCTTACCCACAAGGCCCCGCTGCGAGACAGCGGCCGCATAGCTCGGCGCTCACTCAGCGCCCGGCTATAACCGCGCCGGGAGGGCCGCGAGGGGAAGGGGTCAGCCGGGTGACCTCCCGCCCGGCGCCCGGCTGCGGTGCGACTGGGGCCGCGGCGCCTGCCTGAGGGGCGAAAAGCGCTTTTACAGCACGTTAGGGGCACGGAAAGGAGCTGGGCCGTGCAGAGCCAGCCGTGAAGAGGGAAAGCTCCTTAAGGATGTGGTCGTTGGAAGGTCGGGCTGAGCCGCGGCGTCTGGGAAACGAGGGGCTGCACGCAGGGCCAGGCTGCGCTCATCGGGAGGAAGAGGAGGAGGGTGGGTGGTGGGTATGGATGTGCTGTGAGGTGGGGGACCGGGTCTGGTAAAAAGGGCGCAGAGATGGAGCTCGTGTCCCTGATGGTGAAGACAGCGGGCACTGGCTGCAGGCAGCTGGTGGAGATGGCAAGGACCTGATAGAGAAAAGATGAACGTTTTCGGTTTGGCACGTCTTGCAGCTGATAGCTGAATGGCAATGAGCTGATGTCAGGAAATGGGCAAATAGTTTGACTTGAAAGGAAAAGGATTCAAAGAGGAGTAAATACATGAGTCACTGGCATGGCTCTGAGTGAGATCATCCTGTGCAATGCTCTGAGTCAGGACCCTGGGGCTGAACAACCCCCTACCCCGATCCAGGGATTCAAATCTGAATGTTAACCCCAGCCCCGCCCACCACTGGACTGTGCTTTACAGAAAGAGGCATCAAAATACCTGAATCTAACAGAAACACGTGTGTGTGAGCGCTGTAGCCATCAAATCACGATCCAAGCATTGAATCCTTCACTGAAACGCCTTTGAGAGTTGGCGGGTTTCCTGGAGGAACTGGTGAAAATTTGGGAGGTGCACTTTTATCCATGTTGAAGGGCTTCCCCTTCCCCAAAGCAGCTTGGGATTCACTTCAGCATAACATTTGTACAAAAGAAATCATGTAATTTGCTCGAGTGGTCTTATGCTGAAATGACAAAGGCAAAGGGGCAACAACTGATAGTATTTTTACTAGCATTAGGATGTAGGTGCTAGTAGGATGGCAGAGTTACACGAGCTACCGCTTCAACCCTTAGAAGCTGTAGATTACTTAAATAATTTCTTCCTTTATGGCCTATTTTTGAGTAGGCTAATTTCTTCTAAGTAGTACAGTGGAAATGTATTTCACTGGACTTTCTTTTTGATTTTTTTAAAGAATAGCTTTAAATGGGTTTGGATAAAAGACAAAAGATGAAAAACATGTCTCCAGTGATGACCACAGAGCCCAGGCCTGGTTTTGTTACTGGCAGCAGGAATCTTTGGGGTGATTTCAGTGAGCTTTTAGTCAAGCACCAGACGATTTGAAGATGTAAGCTGCATCTCTTTCCTCTTTTTTTTTTTTTTTTAATCTCTAGACTAAGGTTTGTAAAAAACAAATCTGATTCTTTATCTAACCCGTATGATTCAGTGACATTGTCAGGGGAAATGCTTAAACACAATAACAATTTCTTAAATAAGCATAACAGCTTTTTTTTGCAAACAAATGAAAAAAGTGTGATTGTGATTTCAAAAGTGAATGTGTGGAAACAGTACCTTCTTGAAATTGTTTCCCAATAGATCTATTCCTCCAGCCTTCAGGACATGGCTGTTTATTGTCAAAACAGGTTTTACTGTGTTAATGTTAGAAGACATATTCACTATGGCAATGTCAGGTGAATTCCTGTGTGTGACACAAATCTGCAACAGAATCATCAGCCAGGTTCTACCAGCAGAATAATTATTACTCATTATAAATGATTTAGTGGTAAAAAGAGCACTTTGAAAGTCAGATCCTACCCTTGGCTTGCAGGATTGGTATTTAGGAAAATACCACTGTTTTAACACATTAGTTGAACAAATTAGTACGGATGTCTTGAAGAAGAAACAACACTGTGTGACCTTTTTTCAGTTCTACCTTTTCTACCTATAATAACATGCATCTTTTAGGTTAACACCTATCCCTAACACTAACCATCTGTGGAAGAGCTGTTTTGGCTTTGTCCACATACATAGTTTTGAAGTCTGATGCAGTGAATTGTCAACTGTTATTTGCCATGTTTTGAAAGGCAAAGCCCAAGACTCGCAGGGTGTTCTGAAAGCAGACTGCAGCTGCAAGCATGCAAATCCACAGCTGGGTTCTTCACCTTTCTCCTCTGCTCTCTGAAATGCCATTTAATTATTTTACTGTTTAAATTCATCTGTATTTTAGGTGTCCTGTAGCACTCACAAGTTTGCTGTTGACCATTTTCAGAACTGTCTGTTTTTCTAAGCAAGTTGTTAAAAAGTAGTAAAGTGGTCGTTGATCTCCTCATTGGGCCTTCTCAGGAAGACAAGGAATTTTGATCTGGGTTTCAGACATGCTTTAACTACTGGCATTTGCAAGAGAAGGAGAAGGGGATAAGTCATTCATTCGTGCATCTGCTTTGGAGAAGGGTTTGCTCTGTTCTTAGCACTTGCTGCTGGCTACTTTTGTGAATCCTCTTCCTAGGTTCCCATTCTCTACAATCCATGCAAAGAGAGCATAAGAGCACTGTGGAGGAGGGAATAGATTTGACTAATTGGTAGGGCACCCAGAAATTAGCTGTTGCAATTCATGCAGCACTAGTCCATGCTTGGGTTTTACATACGAGATACCAGTGATCTCCTGGACTAACTCTGTGGAGGGACATAAATTTGACTCTCATCACAGAATTGCTTGGGTTGGAAGGGACTTGTAAAGATCATCTAGTGCAACTGCCTTGCCATGGGCAAGCACACCTCTCACTGGACAAAGCTCCAATGCAGATTTGAATATCTCCAAGGATGGAGCATCCACTTCTTCTGCTTCTTTGGGCTCCAAGGATGGAGCATCTGCTTCTTTGGGCAGCCTATGCCACTGTCTTACCCTCTAACCATGAAGAATTTTGTGCATCCAATCTACATCTACCCTCCACCTCATAATGAGTGAGAAACGGGTTGTGACAACAGTGTAAGAAAGACAGTGAAACAAATAGTCCAAGCAAACACACGAGCTTCAGTTGTGTCAAACCACTACAGGAAAGGTGTGTGAGCATTAGCCCTGCATGCTGAGGAGCCCAGACGCTGCTCTGACAGCCTGGGCATCGCATTCTGTTGTGAAGGAAGTAGGGCGAGAGGCTGTGGCTTGGTAATGAGGTCTGAGAGCTTTGGAGGTTATGGCTAAAGATCGTCATCCTGCCTCCAGAGAGTAGCCTACATTTACTTCACTAGTGTAACAAGAGCTTTATTTTTAGATTCATAAATATGAAATGGGAAAGTAAAGGAATATAAGCTTAGTGATTTATTTTGATTTATTTAGATTGTTTTGTTGGGCTGTTTTTTAATTTTTTTTTCTCAAATGCCAGTGTTTGATCAGTCTAAGGATTAAAAAATTATTTCTTTTGGATTAAAAACTAAGCATTTTTCTTCTCTTCAGGTTAAGGAAAATAGACAGTAAGAAAGGTACTTGACTTTCTATGTCTTGGGGATGTCAAAGCATGTATTTTCGAGGAATTGTAAGACTAAGTATTCATCTGCAATCATTGTTGATTTTCTTATTCTACCGTTGTCGTGATGCAAATATCACAGTTATACAAAGTACACCAAGAAAGCATATTTTTAAATACTCTTTCATTTAATTCACAATGTAGCATTTGTTGCATTGCAACTAGTGGCTTTCCGTACAAGCAGCTTTTCAAAACCCTGCATTTGCAAACCATCTCTCAGTCAGAACGACACTACCACATCAATCATGGGCACAGGCCAGCTATAAAATTACAAAACCACTCAGCCATATGTATAATTAAATACAAACCAAAGTAATCAAGCAAATGTTCAAGAAAATATCTTCATATTGTAAATTTACGAGTTAAGGGCCTACATCTACTATTTCTGACTGGAAAGGATGGCATCTTTGTCTCTGATAGGTGTGCCTTATTACCGCTCCCCACTCTTTCAAGTAGCACAGCCTGCTAGCTGAGCAATGCAGAAATATTAGTTGGCAATGCCTGCTGTCTAGAAGTTAGTACCTAAATCACAGATACCAAAGAATCAGGTAAAGGAGGTGTGAAACGAGCAGAGTGGCTGCGTAAGGGCTGGTTGTATCCCAGTCACACCCCATGTCACTTTTGCTGTCTTTGGTTTCACACATTTCATAACCCCAGCTAATGTTAGCAAGGTAGGTTTGTAGTCTCTTGGATGCATTGGGAAGCCAGAAGTGAAACAGTGAATCTAGGTTAATTGAAATGCTTAAGTGATGTTGATGTGCCAGATTCCGTGCTGTGTATCTCAGGAGGAAACATGCAGTAAGCCTAGCTCAGAGAGTAAGGACAGTGTGACCTACAGTTTTCTTTTGTTGCTCTC